CTGGCTGTAGATGGGGCCTTTTGCGTTTTTTGCGAGTTTCGCAGCCATTCTAGTTTCTCCTACACACTTCACAGCCTGTTCTCATTCCCAGGTTGTCAAACACAGATGCCAGCGGTGTTCAGTTAGTTTCAATCTGCAACTTCACCGCTAGATGTCACTACATCCTACACACTGGTCCTTTTAAATATTTGAAATTATGCAATCTTTAACAAATCTACTAGTCTTCCTCTTCTCTGTCTTTGTTAGCACGTTTGCTGTGCTTCTCTGCGCACTACTGCCACCAATCAGCAGATAGCGTGCAACCGGGAGCAGGAAACGGGGACCCACTCATAAAAATATTATTCCATATTGGCCTTTTTAAAATGGGACCAACTTGCAAGTACAACTTGAACAAAAAAAATTGAATTCAAAGTTCAAAGAGGTACTTACATAATGTAGCATATTAGCATTCATTTTAGGTTTGCAGCGATATGGATTGACATACTGGAGAATAGGGAGCTCTAACATGTGGCTTTTTGATTCTCCATGCTACAGTTGATCACACTGGTGAGTATTCTGCCTCCCTACTTTAGTGCCCTGCTGTGGAAACCTTTCATGCCTTTGAATTATCAGTACAGAGAAGTCATTGATGAACGTTAACAGGACCAAATCAGCACATGATTCTTTGGCACTGAGATCAGAGTCGGCTGCAAAATACATTTTTAATGCCCAGGGACTAGGTGTGACTTCAGTGGACACAGAATGAGTGTCAGTCACAGTTTATTGTTAGTCAGCACATGCTGTACATGGGTTAATGATCATATATGCCAAATGGGTATATAATAGTGAGAGCCAAACTCCTGCCCTCCTTTTGCTCACTTACTGGCCTTGGCCAGACAGTGTATTTTCTGTGATTGTAGAGGTGGTCTTTCATCTCGTCTTTCTCGCCTTCGTCTTGCTGTCAAGCTGAAGCATGATATTTGGGTATTCTGTCCATGTTCAAAGATAAAAGAGTATCTACTATTGGTTTGGCCTAAGCACTTGTTAGCATTTGTCAGTGTTTTATACAGGCCATGAGGAGCCTGAACATGATACGCAGTGAAGTGACTCACTCACTCCTCCTGCTCCCAAGGTGACCAGCTTATATCAAACAGTGTACAGTACAGTTCAAATTAGCACAACAGACCTTTTTCACAGCAGCCATTTTGATATGAAATAGTAGGGTAAACACAGGTTTTACCACACTTTGGGCTGATGGCTTAAAGATAGCTTATTGGTTCATTCTCAGCATCAGTATTTGATGCCCTGGGTCTCAACAATCAAATCCTTTCTTCTAAAAGACCTTAGCTTAAAATATGGACAGAAACACAGTATCATATTTTAGCTTTGGGAATTTGGCTCGCCACATTTTTTAACATTTACACAGTTGCAACACATCTGTTCATATTCATATTGTCCTCACATCATCTCTGACTAGTTGATCCTCATTACTCCTGCTCCATGTAGCAATATAGGAGAGTGTACTGATGTTTGTGTTTGTGTATGAACCATACTTAACTCCTTTTCTTTCTCGCACAGAGGTTGCAGACTGCAGATTTCTGTCTTGATGTACAAAGTTTTTCACATGTACAATATGACTTCTCAGGCAGCTAGCTCGTTACTGAATCACCTCTCTGTAGTCACCTTAAGTCTCAAGTCATACCCCCTATATCAGCATGTAATTAACAGAAGACTTGAAAAGTGCTATACAAGGAAAGTGTAATCAGTAACAAGCATGTGAGCAAAAAGGGATGATGAGAAAAGAATAAAACAAATCAAATTCACAAAACACAGAAACAAGAATGTGAAATTAAATCACATTCACATTAATCAAAAAAAATAAAAAATGAAAACGTGAAGAAATCCTCATCTACAGTATGAAATCATCATGACATCTGAGATTTATCCCTGAAAAGACAAATTTCGTCAAATTTGAACCACATGGCTTCTACCTATTCGCTGCATAGTCACTGTGTACCTGGGAAAACATGTTTACTGTGTAACTTTATAGTTCTGGTGACTCAACTCATCCATGCTTTTCAGTTATCCTACATAATAAACATTAGACTTGGGTGGTGACAAGGCATACACTGGTATTTTCATCCTGGCACTACAGCGATGGTAATGCATCAGTAATGACATTTGTTTAGAGACTAGGCAAGGCTTAGGACCTACTAATAGACACACACAAACAAATAGCTGTTTGTAATACCCTGTGACACCACACATATAGCAGCACATACCTGTCTAGACCATGTCAGTATTACTCAGAAATATTTATGTTTGAAGGTATGGAAACAAAGATATCACCCAAGCCTAATCACATCAGACATCACAGTCATATAATTTGTGAGTTTTACATGGTGAACATGGTCTGGACATAAGAGCACCTGTACACTCTTATGCAGTGTGTTCATGTATGAAGCTTATATATTATATTATATAATATATATTATAGTGTGTGGATTTGTATAGATTCATTGCATTACAAGCAGTAGCAAATTAACAGAGACCTTACAAGATATCTCTGCTGAGTATCTGAAGTATTGATTCAATTCAGTGGTAGTTTTTGAGCAGCTGTCTTGTTGTGGTGAAAGTCAGTATTATTCAGCATATTTATGTGCTTTCTTGAGAGTGGCTCAAACTCAAGTCATAAAACCAAAACAATGAGCTACAAGAAACTACAGTTCTAATATTCCAGTTCACCACTAAAGGGCAGTAAATGATATACTTTATTATATTTTATTATTTTTAAGCATAGTTTTCACTGGGCTTCTTTGTTCCCAGCTGTGCTGTAAATTACTCTTCAATTCAAATTTTCAATTAAATTTTATTTGTTTAGTGCAAATTCATAACAGAAGTTATCTCAGGACACTTTTCAAATAGAGCAGGCCTAGACCAAACTCCTTTTAACAATTACAG